CTGCAGCTCCTTCCCCCCATCCTTACTGACACACCCTGCTGTCTCTGAATACATAGAAGTGAGGAACACATTTGAAAAAAAAAAACTGACCTTGAAATAAGCAAGTTGCTATAACTATGCTTATAGTATCTATAGATTTATTTTGCAGAGAAGTGATGGATTTTACTTTTTTTTTTTTTAAGCTGCTGGATGTTTTAGCACAGGTACTCCATAAGTACATTTTTAAGTAGCACTTTAGCACCTACTTAGGGAGACTACAAAATATGCATGATATTAGTTCAAAGCTAAAAGACTCAGGATTTACCATATAGTTAGTTGGGGAGGACCCCACCAGAGGCAACAGCCCCACAGGTCAGCACTGCTCAGTATGTGTACTTCAGATTCCCACCCCCCAAGGTTTCCATGTGCTAATTAGCCCCCAACTCATGACTGGAACTGGGGGTGAAGGGGTGATGTGCAGTTCTTGTAATGAGTCCTGAGATGCTTCAAAAATGTATATGCAGATGAGGTGCATGACAACCTGCTCCAGTTTTACCTCATGGAGGTTAGGGCCACACTACTCATATGTGCCAGGCTGTGGGGAAGGGGGGTGACAGAGGGATTCTGGATAAAGTGGGGCCCCATTTAGTGATGTTTACTAGATATTTAATGCTGGTGAAGAAACAGGAATCTTTGGAAAGAAAGGCACAGCTCAGCTGTAGCACTGAAGAGGAAGTTGAAATGTAGACAGTGTAACTGCTCACCATGACTTCAGGAAGTCGGCACGAAGGGGTACTGCATTCAGTGGGCACTACTATTTTGGTTCATCTACACATGCATTTAAATACAACTAAAGTAATTTTTAGCAAGTGCTAGTTGGCTGCATCTTCTCTGTCCTCTCCCACCACTTTCTGATAGTAGGACTGAAGGTTGCTTGGAAACATTTTAACACTGTCTGTTTCCTTGAGCTCAATGTGTCTGTACATCAGAAAGGTCCTACATTGCTACAGGACAAACTGGTTGAAATGGGTTGTCAGGGACCCCTGCTGTTTAGTCAGGTGTCCGTACAGTGCCAACGCAGTTGTCATCAGCTTAGCCCCTGTCATCTCTTCACATAGCCGGCTTACCTTTTTCCACACTCCCTTGGCATAGGGCCAGCAACACAGGAGGTGGTTGATGGTCTCACTTTCATCTTGGCAGCCTTCCCTGGGGCAGTTGGGGCTAGTTCCTCACCCCCCTCTATATCTTCAAGTACTCACTGGGAGTGCACGATGAGCTATTAGCCAGTTCAAGTCTCTGTGGTCCTTTAGTAGGTCCTTGTAGAAGATCCAGTCCCAGACAGCTTGGCAATCCTCTTCGGGGAGCAGTGAATGAACTGAGAAGGGAAACTCCATATCAGGGCTGGGATGAAAGACCTGTGATTGGGTTGGGGAAGGGCAGGAGGTAGGGGTGCAGGGGAACGGGTGTGTTTATTTTAAGTAAATTTTTTTTTGTGTTCCAAGCCAAATCAATTCCAAATCTGTATATATATTATTCAGCAGGTGTTCTTACGTGCAGGCACTAAAGTTAGGGCAAGGTCCTGAAGCCCTGCCATATGCCCCTAATGGTTGGGCAGACTCAGCACCAAATTAGTGATGGACTGCATCTATGCATGCATTAATGCGCTTTAACTAATTACGCCTAAATTTTGTACCTGAATTTGCAGGTGTTGAATTTAGGTGAGATTAGCCTAATTTTGTTATTTTTAATGTGCAATAAGGGTGTGTACATGTAGACACATGCTCATAATGTGCAATTTAGGCCTGTGCAAATCCAAATCAAAAGCAAATACTAGCCACTTTGCTGATTCAGGAGACGGTGATTCGACTCAGTGATTCAGTTCACTGTCCTGAATCATTTGGACTGAATCTCTGGATCAGCCCCATCCCCTGCCCGCTCACCCAGCCCCATCAATGGCTGCCTGCCCAGCTGCAGCTCCTGGCCCTTTTAAAAAAAAAGCCCAGTACTCCACAGCTGCTTCAAGGTGTATGTGTGGGGGGCAATCCCCACTACCCTGCACTGCATGGGAGGGCTCTGTCATGAGCCCCTATCCCCTACCTGCTCTCCTGGCCCAAGCTCCTGGCTTTAAAAAAAAAAAAAAGCCCCCACTCACCAGCTGCTGCCAGGTGGGGGGGGGGCAGGGGGGAGTTAGGGCAATTCCTGCTGTTCCCTGATCTCAGCCTGCTGTCCCAGCCTCCCTATGACTGCCCTGACCCAGCTCCTGGCTCTTTTTTAAAAGCCCTGCACTCACAGGCTTCTGCCAGCTGGGGGGGGCAATCCCTGCTGCCCCACGCTGTATGGGGGGGGGGCTCTGCCATGAGCACCCAGAAGCATTGAGGCTGCTGCAGCAGCTGGTGAGGGCAGGGCTCTCTTTTTTTT